TAAATGCTTTTTCCCAAAAGAAAAAAAAATTTGCCTGTTCAAGACATATTTTATTAAGTCCAACCATCAGTGGAAACCCAGGTAATCAGTCTTTAATATGACAAAATGTAAAATTTGAAATACAACTTTAAGATATTTTTTTTAATCCATTCAGTTTTGGCTTATATAAGTTTCACTGTATTTAACTAGATGTAAAGAACTATAAACACACATTCACACAATTCACTTGAAGGTATGTTTCCAGGAAATAAAAGTATACTTATTGGATTCATTTCAACATTACACCTTAGAACACGTAATGATACCTCATTATTAGGCATTTTCGATAGTCTTGAAATAGCATAACTGGTAACATATCTTTCTAAATTCAGTTCTTGTTAAATTATGTTCAACATCATTTAGCATTTGCAGTTTTGCAGTTTTATAACTAAATTAGATTTCAGTAGGTCTATTACACTAAGCACTTACAGTTATTCACTGTTATTTTCTTAACATTTCAACAAAACAATGAACTTCCTTTCTAAGAATGCATACTGAACAATGAAAATTCCAAATATTATATATGCTTTACCAGAACTATAATATCAGTTAATAGTGATTTTTTTAAATTGAATTTGATTAATTCAAGCAATTCACTTGAAGGTATGTTTCCTGGAAATAAAAGTATACTTATTCAATTCAGCGTTACACCTTAGAACAGGTAATGATACCTCATTGTTAGGCATTTTCGATAGTCTTGAAATATCATTACTGGTAACATATCTTACTAAATTCAGTTCTTGCTAAATTTTGTTCAGCATCATTTAGCATTTGCAGTTTTATAGCTAAATTAGATTTCAGTAGGTCTATTACACTAAGCACTTACAGTTATTCAGTATTATTTTCTTTACATTTCAGAAAAACAATGAACTTCCTTTCTACGATTCCAAATATGATATATGCTTTACCAGAACCATAATTTGTCAGTTAATAGTGATTTAATCTTCATAGATAAGCATATCCAACAGTCTTGAAATATCAGAGCTGGTAGCATATCTTAAATATATTCAGTTCTTATTAAATAACATGTTCATCATTTAACTTCAGTAGTTTCACAGCTAAATTACATTTCATCAATATGTTCATTAGAGTGGACACACTCTTTTCATCTTTTATACTCTTTACGTTCTAATAATGAAATGAAGTTTATTTCTAAGAAAGCATATTGAATCCTGTAAAGCATATTGATTTCTTAATCAAAGCACAATTAATGTTGTAAATATTCAGATAGATATATATGTGAAATGTATTTTAAGGATTTCTTGACACCACTATGTCAATTCATTGCAATAGTTACTGGTGGCATTTTGATTCAAAATATTTACTGCATTAATTACTGACACAAAGTAGCACTTGGATTCACTAACTTAACATTAACTTCACTTGGTTTAATTCCCGCAGGTACATTTTATATAGTAGATGATTAAAGTCATTATCACTTAAAAGGTTCTGATTATCAATATGCAGAATAATTTGTAAACCACACTTTACATGTATCTTCCAGCCATCAGTAACTTCTATCTGACTAGACCTAATTTTGTATTGGAACAGCAGAATAATCCTTAATATTCCGAAACAAACATTAAATCGTTATATACAGATATATACGCATATATATACACTTTTATTCCGAAAAACTAAATGTACATTCAAAAAACGCACTTCGTACCTCCGAACAGTAGAATGTAAACAAACGTCAGAAATGTGACGTCACTCATGTGGGCGGAGTTAATGGGGCCCTCATCTGGACTGTCATTGGCCAAATTCAAGCCGTTGTCCTAGCAGTGTACATTTTGCTTATATGCGCCCGGGAATCGAACCCCGGCCCTGTGGTGCCTGCGCGATGCGCTAGCCACTGCACCACCGCGCCGTTTTACTTATTAAATTGGTCTCATCAAATTGCAAGAATGAAACAGATTGTGGCTGTAAATGCAAAAAGAGTTGCATTTATGTCTTACCATGCACACGTTCCATCTGCCTCCTAATCAACTTTTTTATAGAGCTATATATTATTGGGAATGGTAGTATTGTGCTATTTGTGAAATAAACTACTTCGCACTGCTAGTGAAATTGTCGCTTATTCAGGTACTAATTATGCACGTACTTGTTCTGCATCGTATTGAAGGGCGCACTACAATGTTCACACCCTTGTTAAGCAGAGGTGGTGGGCTGGCATGGCTCAACACACCAAGCAGGGCGTGGAGTGAAAAGTGGGGAGATTAAATTAGCATCGTCATGGTACAGCCCTAGTATTGCGTATGCTAGTCTTGATGTCTTATATGCTTATTGTAGATATAAGCGGTACAGTACCAACCTTTGGTGAAAGAGGGGGATGTTACTGCACTGGTTGAGTTTTAGCAGATCCTAGCTACCAGCGCACTAGTTGCCAGTCATCTCCAAGGCTTCATGGAGTATAATCGAGTTTAAGGTGAACCCTTTTCAAGGTGCCTAATCATCTCCACAATGAAACTTTTGTTAAAACAGCATTACACGGCGAAGTTTTGTGTTAAATTGGGTAAAACTGCGAGTGAGACCCATGGCATGATCAAGATTGCTCATGGAAGTGATGCTATGGATCGATCACGTATTTTTGAGTGGCACACATTGCTTCAAATGTGTGCCACTCAAAAATACGTGGGAAGGGGAGAGCAATTTGAAGATGAAATTGATGTTCATCATCTTTTTTGACTGCGAAGTAGTGGTTCACATAGATTTCGTACCTCCTGGTCAGATTGTGAATGCTGTATTCTACGTGGAAGTACTTGAAAGACTCAGAAAACGAGTCGTCCGTCCAACAATAACTGGGTAATGGAGGTTCCATCACGACAATGCGCCGAGCCACACCACTTTTGCTGTCATCGAATTCCTGACTAAACATGGCATCACACAACTTCCCCAACCACCTTACGGGCTAGGTATCGCTCTTTCAGACTTCTTCCTCTTCCCCGACTGAAAAGGATCATAAAAGGACGGCACCACCGCTCGGCACAGGCCATTAATGAGGCCGTAACGAGGGAGCTGAAGAGCATTCCAGTTTCTGCGTTTCATGGAGCCTTCAGAGTCGCTGGAAACACTATGTTGATGCAATGAAAAGTATTAAGTCGATGTGTCGAAATTGTGAATAATGTTTTTTTAAAAAATAAGTCCAACTACTTTCCGGACAGACCTTGTAGATGGCCTATTTCTTCCCTGCAAACGTTCTCATCAGGATCTCAGATGACAATTATTCTTGTGAAAATCTTGTGGGATGAGATGTCAGTTATGCTTCTGAGAGGTGGGCATATCACTATTATTTTGGAGTCTCGTTTTCATTTGTTTTGGAGTCCCGTTGTCTGTAACTAAGAGTTCAGATTTATAACTACTTACGTTGCAAAAGATCCAAATAATAACCACCTTAATAGGAACTAATCAGTTTTTCAGAGCTTGATACGGTAAAAATGAATGTGACAATTATAAAGATTTTAGATAGCTGCCGAGATCGATATATCGGTTAGTATTATTGGCTGCCATAACCTTTTGTGTTGGTTCAGTATCTTGGATATTTGTAAATGTACAGTTTTTTTGTGGCAGGGGGTCCTTAAAATATACGGTTAGCCGAGTCCTCTCGAGTGATTTGGTGGTAGGCGAAATGGAGTGAAAAACCTTGGACCCATCTCTCGGGAATTCTGCTTCAAAATTGGAACGGAGCTGGTCGTACTTGAGTGCAGGCTTGCCAACTACAGATACAAGCATGCGATCCTTGTCACGATAAAATTTGTGAACTTGTTTTGATGTTACTCGCAGATAAGTGAGAACAACAAAATCGTAGATGATCTCAAATCTTGACATGGACCAAATCAAAGTTATGGACCAATCAATTTGGTCATGGACCAAATCAAATCAAAGTTTGATGCTGATATCGCGGAATATGAGCGATTCTGTCTTTGTTGCATGTATTACTTTTATCGTAATATCTTCTATTGGTAATGTAAATAGGTTGTGTATCTGTATTTCTTCGTATTAATTTCATTTTTTTTGTGAAAATTAATTTTTGCTATGTGTTAGAATCTGAATAAAAATGAAATTAATCAATAATCCAGCTTGGTGATAATCTGATGAACAAATCTGAAGCTTAAAACAACTTAGTTAATGAGACATACTTAGTTAAATGAGTGCAGTTTTTGGACAAACCTAATTTTTAATTAAGCTGAGACCCGAAAGTGGTATTTCTTACCCTTTGCACCTACTGTAACATTATTTCGATTAGGAAGTGGGTTAGGGGGAAAAAAAAAAAAAAAAAAAATGTTGAGACGCAAGTTAAAATTTATTGTTCCGTGTTAACGCACATATTGTTTTCACTATAGAATTAAAAATTGTATAAGAATACAAAATATTTAAATAATTCGTTCATTCGATTAGAACAATTTTATAGCCCTAAAGCATCAGAGGTATAAAAAATTGTCGAAATCAAAGATTAAGAAGTTTCCTTTTAACCTAATTGTATTTTCTTTCCCATTTTGCTTCAGGAAAATGAAAAAAGAGAATGCGAAAGGATAAGGGAATGCGATAATGTACTAGTCTTTAAAATTAACATTTGAAGCATCATGATTATTACTATTTATTTATGTTATTTAACACAGAAAATACTAGCATTAGCTTAGAAAGTCTAGCAGTATTCTTCCCAGATTAAACAATGAGCTAGCTGTCCGGCAGAAATTGAATTCAGATGGGGTTTAAATTTTAGATATAGCACAACTTCTTTAAAACTTATATTTGATTTCATGACTATTGAAAATAACTGTATATCGTCATGAATTAAAAGTTATCTATTCCATAAACATATTCAGCTGAAATTTTTCTTATCTTTCCAAAATGACGTACCAGTGCATTTATAAAGCTTCCATGATGTCTAATACAAATTGGGCGATTCGTTAGTGAATTCCCGAATTTCTGATGAATTTGTGGCTTTTCTTCCCTTTCAGATCAAAAGGTACGAAAAGCTGGAGACCGTGGAGGACCGGAGGCAGGCAGCCCGAGAAATCTACGATAACTTCATTATGAAGGAGCTGCTCTCTCATACTCATGTAAGTTTTGAATGGCTTGCAGAGCATTTAAAATGGTTACAATCTGACTAGAATGGAAGAAGGGAAAAAATAATGTAATGCAGGGTGAATATGAAGTCTGTCCGTGCTTTCGAAAGTTTATAGTACCTTTAAGAATACAGCAAAAAGTTGCATTTTGATGCATAAAGAATCTCTCCGAGTTTCGTATACTGTCAAGCCTAACAGATACTTGATATGTGCATAGCTCGTTACGTAGCAGACATCGGTTTTGAATTGAATTTCATTCTGCGGAAGTTCTGTATTACAATTGGCAACAGCGACCTCGGGTGTGATCTCAGTGGCAAGGAGATAGGAAGGAACAGATGGAATTATACCATAATTTTGGAGACCGTAGCATAAAAGAAGAGTCATCTCGAGAAGCATGTCCGATCCAACGGTCAACATTATTCAGCACTGAACTATGCGCGGACATCTTCATGAAAATGTACAAAATCTCATCGTGTTGAAAAGTGAAGTTCTGGTTGTCTTTATGTTATTGTGGCATTAACCATTGCTGTGGGATAATTAGTTTCAGTAATACCCGTCACCTGAGGTGCTGTAGAGGCGCTGTCCTAGCTTCATCCGTGTACCTGTTGCAAGATGTTTAGGTATATTATATCCCTAAAGGCCCATTCGCACTGAGGTTTATCTGAGCTAGCGGTTCCATGTGTTGACGAGCTCCGTTATACATGAAGTTTATATTGCTCCGCTATAAAGAAAAACTGGTTTTGGAGTAGTATCGGCAACGCCAGATGTCTCCGTTATCTCAGATAAACCTCAGTGTGAAGGGTCCTTTAAAATTCATAGTCGCCCCCCCCCGGAGGAAAACATAGTGTCTAAATCTATGACAATGTAATGGCGACTGTTACGAACACAAACTCGGAGAGAATCTGTACCTGCTAATATGCATCTTTTTTTTTTTTTCCCTGCATCTGTAAGACTGTTTTTATTTTGCTGGATTTTTATAATTAAAAAAGTCAAGAAGAGTATTACTCAACTTATATATATGTAAGTGATTTATGCATAGCTATCAACTCTCCCGGTTTTTCGATAGATGTCTTGGTCTCCAGGTAGATCACCGAATCCACCGGTTTTTAATTTTTAGTCTTTATATTTTGTATTTTTTTGTGTTAACCAATAAGTTTGTATTTTTTTATACAGACGTATTGTAAGAAGCAGAAATTTGCAAAAAAATTAGTACTGTGCATAGCATTGATTTTTAGTAAATGGCAGATTATGAATGCTTATGTTTCCTTCTTGATTTATCAGTAAAAATTTATTAGTTAATACATATAAATATGGCATATAAAAGTAAAAATATTCCCTATTAGATTTTAACTAACTAATCATTGCGCGAAAATTCAGTTAAGTTTTTTTAGTCAGAAAATGTATGTCTGTGATATTACCATTATGCAATGATTTGTAGGTGGTTTATTTTTTTTTAACGATGTTTTAAAACTGAAGTTTTTTCCCCACTTTATTTTTCTACCATGATGTTTCAGAATTGCGATATTTTCTTTTTGCTTTCTTTTTTCTCTCGATGTTTTTATACGACGACGTTTTCTCCTTACTTTTTCCCTTCCACTATGCTTTCGGTGGATACCTTATGATGTGCCGATTTTTGGCTTCAATACGTACGAAGCTAGTACTTTTTAATAGAGATGCAGTCAAACCTCTATTTAATGAACACTCTATTTTACGAATTCCTTTATTTTGCGAAATTTTTCACCGAATTCTGCCTGAAGTAGCGAAGTACACTCTTTATTTAACTGTTATGAATGAATGATTTTTTTTTTTTTTTTTACTTTAAAATGATTTATTTACTTGTGACACGTTCATCTGTGGTTTTGAAGAAAAATGGGCGGCTCATTATCCGCTGTCATATTCCATTGTCCATCAGGGATGTATCTATTTTTAACTTCAGTACGTAAGAGGCTAGTATTTTTTAATAGAGATGCAGTCAAACCTTTATTTAACGAACACTCTATTTTACGAATTCCTTTATTTTACGAAGTTTTACCGGAATTCTGCCTGAAGTAGCGAAGTACACTCTTTATTTAACAAAGTTCTGAATGAATGATTTTTCGTATTTTTTTACTTTAAAATAATTTCTTTACTTGTAACACGTGCGTCCCTGCATCTGTGTTAAAGAAAAACAGGTGGCTCATTATCTGCTGTCACATTCCTTTCTCTATTAGGGATAAAGTGGAGGGAGGGAGGTTCTCAAAAGGCATTTAACCACCGAATTGTTAAAAATTCCTTAACCAGTCTTGTTTCGCACACTGTTTAAGGATGAGCAACAGTTGCACATTATTTTTATTTCTGCGTTTCGTAGTTTTATGCTGGGAATCCTTTTTTATAGTTAGTTGTGCATTGAATGATAAAAATTCGAAACGAAAGTACCTAACATTTAAAGAATGGCATTGTCATTAAAGTCATTAAAGGATGTAACAGAAATGTCATTCTCGACGAAGTGGACAAAGTTGTAAAGAACAAAGGCATTGCCATAGAAGTCTGTATTCTGCAAAATAGTTCATCGACAATCCTGAAAAATCGGGACAAAAATTTAGTTAAGTTTTGATTCCCCAGATCCAAATGTAAGAAAGCATGCGTTTAAGTAGACATTGATGAAGTAACGTTAAATTGGTTGCGCACAGTAAGAAAAAAAATTACGATCTCAGGCGGTAAAGTTTCTGAACACTGGTAGTTCGGTTCAGAGTTGGAATCCCAGCGAATTAGCTGGCTGCATGGTCATTTTCGTGGTTTTTCTCATGTGTAACGTGCATACGAGCTAGTTTCCATCAGAAAATTCTTTCTTAGGTAGATAGCCCTGGAGTGTTCTGCCGTAATCACATAAACTGTAGCCGGCGGTTTTTGCTTCTGGAAAATGCTACCCAGTTTACCAAAGCTGTGTCAAAATGAATTTCATGAGAGCAACAGGTGGCTACAGGTAAAAAAATAAGCATGCAGTAGTTGAAAAATTCATATGTGATGGAGAAAAAAAGAAATGAGAATGAAGATAACTATGACATATGGGAAAGTGGAAAATTAAAAAAATTCGTGAAATGGCATAAAAGACATCTTCAACGTCGACGAAACCGGCTTATTTTTTTAGTGTTCAGCGCAGAGATTTTTAGCGTTCAAAAAAGAGAAATGTTTTGGAGACAAGCTCAACAAAGTCAAATTTACTCTACTGCTAGTACAAATAAGGAGGGGAATAAAAAAAAATTGAAACTTTTACTTATAATAAGAAAGAGTTGAAATTCAAGATGTGTTAGAGGTACGTTCTTACTGGAAGTAGAACATGATTTCAACAAGAACGTAATAGATGACCTCAGACATTTTTGAAAAGTGGCTACAACATTTAGATAAATACATGGTTGTATAGAAACGAAGAATTCCTTTAGTGATAGACTATTGCAGTGCTCACCTTCAATATATCAAAGACAAGGGTAAAAATGTGAAAGGGTTTTTTTTCCCCCTCCAAATACTACTGTGAAGCTGCAGTGTATGAATCAAGGTGTGATAAAAATGGTTAAGACGCATCATTTCAAAGAATTTTGAAGAAGGCCCTAATGAGAATTAGGAAAGAAAAAATTCAGCTTTTGTGTGTAATAAGTTTGCCTGAACATACAAAAATATGGAACTACGATGTAACAGAAAAAACTTTTTGCAATTACTTCAAAAGAGTTGGCTTTATCACGAAGAAATGTACTACTCATAACAGTAGTATCAATAAATGACCATGGGTAAGATGAGAATCCGAATAATATGTTACTGCAGTTGAATAATCAAGGACAGTTAAAGAATAATCAGCAGTTACAGGATTATTTATGTATAATAGCAATGTTGAAACTTCAGGAATTCCTACTGAAAAGGATATATTGGAGAACATAAAAAACAGCAGTCAGAAAGAGATTTATGATGATGAAGGAGATGCAAGCGTTAATGAAAATGAATGTGCAAAATTTTGCCAGAAGATGCATGTAGTGCGTTTGTTACATTACGACACCGTTTTCAGTTAAAAGGAAATGCACAAGACGTTTTCCGTGCATTACAAAGCTGTGAGACTTATTATGACATGAAATGTTCTTCCCGACAATCAAAACAAGCTAAAGTAGTAACTGATTATTTTTCGAAATGAATTTATGTGATGTTCATACGTAAGTTTGATGGAGTAGATTCATTAACGTATGTAATTTTGCTTTTATATTTCAGTATACTACTATTTTACATTAAAAAAAAAAATTTCTCATCTTAAATCGTATTTTATCATAACCTCCATTTTGCGAATTTTTCCATTTAGCGAATTTTTCCATTTTGCGAATTTTTCCATTTAGCGAATTTTTTTTTGCGACTTTATTAAAGAGAGGTTTAACTGTAACTTTTTTGCCATTATAGTAGCATTAAGTTTTTTCAGTTGCCCTTTATAAATTAAAGCGTATCATCACTCGATGAAGCAATGAGATCCAGTTCTCAGAGATAAGGTAAAATTTGATAAATTCATGCTTGTGCTAGAATTGCTACTAAAAATACGAAATTACTTTTGACTCTGATTCATATTCATCATTAATATATATGAAGAAATTCTACTTCTTTTTTTTTCTCTATGTGTGTGGATTTTTAATAAGCTCCCCGTACACTAGTTCATGAATATGAGGTGCTAAACTGAATTGGATTTCGTTACAAAATCATGTAGCTTCATAAACGTAAAAACTTTTTGTTCAAATCGCGTTATTTTTAGTGTATAATCCTCCTATACCCAATCACTTTCGTAAATATTTGTTGAAATGATTCGTTGTACCAGTTGTTTGAGTTAACATGTTGCGAATTAAAATGCGTAGCGGTAGAAAGAAAATCTGAAATTTCATTTGCGTGGGCAATAAACGAGCTTATATCATTGTTTGACATTAGCATCACTGATACAGGTGGAACGACGCAATTATTTGCATTAAAAGTATTCTTCACTGCACTATGACCAT